GTGACACCAAACAGAGCCTTGGTGCTCACTGCTTCAGCCTAGGTAACCTGCTTACCCAAGTGTAAAAGAGAGTCTGATCTAGCACCTTCCAAATTAGGGGCAGGGGGTTCAGGATATCCCCCTAATATCCTAAAGAATATCACAAGATCGAAAGAGACTAGTAGTTCAGTATGTTGCAGTCTACCTCTGGTAAACAATTTTAAGGCACTGGGAGGGGTGAGGTGTGTGGGGGGGTAAGCAAAAACAAAAAATTAAAAAATAAACCACCAAAACCAAACATGCTTGATTAAGGAAATATTTACAAGCACTTCATGAGCAAGGAGGGCAGCTTGATTATTTCAGCAAGCTGCCTGACCAGCCCTGCTATTCTACCAAAGCTGCTGGAGTTGATGTTGCATGATGTGTAGCAGTGTGAACAGAAGCATCACTACTGGATAGGGGGGAAGAAGTGACAGCAAAGAAGTAGAAGCGGACACCATCACGGCCCTAGTCCCTGACACTCATAGGTTCTGCAGCAGCTCCCATCCCATTCTTCAGAGCTGAGGCAGTGATACTGGTACACCCTTTTCCTTGGATGTTGGGGTAGAGGGATTCAGAGTTTCTTCCTCCTGTTCTCCAGCAGTGTCAGAGGAGCGCTGTCCACGTTCATACAGCAGCACCAAACACCATCAAGTCCTGTTCTTGGCTGATTCCCTGTCTGTATATGCTAAAATATTTTTGTTATCAGGCTTGTCATAAACAGATGATCATGACTTCACTGAAAATCACAAACTTATGCGAAGAGAAGGCAACTTTATCCTAAACGGAACTGCAAAGATTTGGATTAGGTAGGAAAGCAGGGCTACCGATAAAGCAAGCATGACTCTGAAGTCTTTTTCCTTGTCTAACCCTCAGCTTAATGCAGCTGATCCCTTCTGTTTGAAAAGAGGATGCATATGTTTTAGTTACAGAGTAGCACCTTTGATATCAAGTTATAGAAATAGCTTCTGCAGCTCCCTTGTTCAAGAATTTCATCGTCCCAAGAGAACATTTCCGTAGGATGACAGACATGGTGGATAATGTCCTGTCCTAAACTGGTCACTCAGAGAGAATATACCTGCTGCTCAGTGCTGTTGTATAGCAGTGCCCAGGAAACAGAAAGCCAGATGCATGTCTAAAATTGTTAAAAAAAAAGACTACCAGTCTGGAGACAAATTTTACCAGTATTATGTACTTGAAATGCACCGAGCATGGTGAGCATTGTTGAGTTATTTCAATCAGTTTGGGCTCCTAGCCAGTACTTTTAAAAAAAACCCAATAGCTAATGTGCAGCATGATGGGATGGTCTTTGGCAAGGCACATCCAGGCAGTTAACTGTCACATCGGTGTCTTGTAATGGTACAGTTTTAGAGCCTGCCTCACTGTGAGCAACTAGACACCACTCAGAAGGAAGGCCATTTCAGGACTTTGTTGAAGAACCCACTGAGCCTGGAGGACTGACAAGGAGTCAGCAACAGTTGAAACAAGGTTAGCAAAATAGCCTGAAGTCCTTTTTATTTTTCTTGGCAAACCCAAAGGATCTGTTAATGGAAATATCATTTCTGTATAATGTTTTCAGATTTAAGAAACTTGCAAGAGACAGCTTTTTCACAAAGGAACCAGAATGGGGAGGAAAAGGCTGAACTTCACCGTTCAGGAAGTTAAGATCGAACAGTGTGGCAGCACGCTCTCCGAAGATGCCAGTGTTAGAAGTGGGAAGGGCATCTTTTAACATAGACCTGTGAATGGGTGTAGCAGTTTGTTTATTAGAGCAAATACCCTTTCCTTTCATCAGTATTCAGTGACTAAGCATAGACTTGTACCTTAGCTTTAGTCTGTATTTACTGTGGCCTGGACTACCTGACACCTTTTGAAAGGGTGTTTTGCTGTTCATTGCCTTTGTTCAGAGGTTTAGGGAACAGAACAAAATTATCACGTAACAGATGTCAAAAACAAGGAAATACTTTTCCTCCCCTAAAATCAAGGTGTAGAACTTCCTGCTGCACCAAACCGTGGAAGCTACAAGTATGTAGCTGCTTAATAAAAGGGAAGACATAAAACTGATGGAAACTAAATCCATCAACAGCTATTGCAGATATATAGCCTGCAACTCTGCAGGTCTATTAAAAAAAAAAAAAAAACAAACCACCCCAAACCAACAGTGAGAAGATGGGAGTGTGTTAAGCATGGAAGGATCGTTGTCTATATGCCCTCTCCTGTTAACCATTGCCTGACACCATACAGCACCTGGTGCCCTGTGTGTTGTCCAGGTGGCACGTGAAGCGAGCAGAGCTTTGCAGGGGAAGGGGTACCCAGTTATATGACTGAGAGCTGCCTTACGCACAGACTCACAAGCAGCAACATTCCCTGCTATGACACTTATTAATAATGCTTAACTATGTCAGCTTATGCTTAGTGGTTTTTATGATATATATTTAAAATAGAAAAAGGAAGGAGTCTGTGCAACTGCAGAATTACTTCTGAGATACACAGTTAATAGAGATTACAGTCCAAATTTTGCTAGACTTAATGGTATTCCTTCTTCCCACTCATACTTTCCTCCCAGTTCTGCCTTGCAATTCAGCCTGTCAATCAATTGCAGACAGTTCTTGTAGTCTAGATTATTTCCTGGCTTCCTGCCTTCAAACATTTACATTCAGTGAGCACCAAAAACTGTCCACACAATACATAAAAGTTTATGGGTTTGAAGCACATCACTAGTGATACTATTTTCCCAACACCTCAGAAATCACTTTTACATCTTCTAGCCTATGTACATACAATAAGCATTGCTTCCTAAGTCTCTTTATTTGTCGCTTTTTTTGTGCAAAATACTTCAGAATAACCCAACTAATAAAAAGTCCAATTCCACTGTGAAAGAAGTGAAACTTTATTCTCTGCCCATCTCACCTTTTTTTCCCCACCCTGCCCTGCTTTTGGTTGCTGTTTGCTCTACTTCAGGACCAAAAGTCCAGCTGCTCTAAATCTAAACAGTGCTCAGGACATACAGCAACAAAACAGCAAAATGAGTTCCAGTGAACATACACTCGTGAGCCATATCCTTCCTAAGTATTCCCACAAGCGTTCAGCCAAGCACTGTGATACAAGAACAGTCATTTCACAATGAGATCTTTGGGCTAGAATCCACAGAACTGAGCAAAGCCACTCAACCACAGAGATTACTGCAGGTTGAAGAATACAATGCATTCAGTCTGGTAAGCAGTATCAGCTCAATAGATCTGAAGGAGAAGGCTTCCCTAGAGACCTGCATAGCACAAAGCATCAGCAATACAATCATCTCCCATACTGTTTTTTTCAAAATGCCAGATCCTGATCTGGGATTGTTGAGCTGCTTCACACTTTTGATATCCAGCCGTCAGAAGATTAGCAGTGCCATTCAACTCCAAGTGTACGGAGGGGCTTCTGGTACTCGCAGAACTGAGCCACAGCACACACTAATCTCAGAAAGGTCAAACACTTTTCTGATAAAAGGTTTTTGGTCATTTACCAACCTGAGCAGACAGAAAAAAAAAAAAAGGCAATTGTGAGCTATCATCTAAACTCTTACATTGTTTGGATGTTCAAGAGAATTCTCTCCTGGTAGCCCAGAAGGTCTGAGGGAAGCTGAAGGGAATTACCACTTAATATTGACAGCCTGTCCAGAAGGCATTAGAATTGTGCCTTTGCTCTAAAGAGGCATTTTAGAACATCAAACCACAGAGTAAACATCACACAGTGCTACAGAATGAGACCTTTTGGTGCACAGCGCCAACCTCAAACAGGTACCTAGATCCTCCATGTGCATTCCAGCTGTCCTACAAAGCTGTGTCAGTACCCTACTCCATGACCTGCCAAGTCAGCTCTGTGGAAAGCAAGTAGAGGGATATCAAAACAGCACACACCAAGTGAGCAAGACCACCAGATTCAGCCTCCCAGTGCCAAGCGGGCTCTGGCTCAAGCAGTGTAGGAGAAGCATGCTCCTGCCCTTTCCTTCCCATGCAAGTCAGAGCAAGATTCCCAGAAAGGGACCAAACCATTTTTTTTTTAAACTAAATGCTTTTAATAGAAAACAAAATACAAAATAACTCTTTCCAGAAAGCAGAAATATTTAATCTCTCCAAATGACAAACTAGAACGTGCTTTTTCCGCAGATCCTTGTAAATGCTGATGATTTATCTCACAAAGTGTTCATGAAACTGGTATTGCAACATTTTGAGAAAAATCCAACACTGGCAGAGCTGCCTCTGTACTCACAATAATTTAGTAATAATATTTTTTCCCATGTCACTTTGCACGTCTCTCTCCCTGTCCCCCTCTCCCTAGACTGCCAACTTCCATTTACGGAAATACTTCTGTGAGGTGCAGTGGTAGACTGACATGCCCCGTTTCCATCAGGAGTCCAAACTTAGCCACTTCAGTTCTATTGTGCCCTCCCTCCAGGCAGGGCAAGTTGTTTATTACCCTTAAAATCACCACTCTACCCCCACTGTCCTCAAACACAGTGCAACCAGATTCAGAAAGATTCCTAATTAATGGAACATAAATACAAATATCACAGCTAGTACCAGGAACCAAACCCAAATGACAATGCAGAGATGGGCCCCAACTGAGGTCAGATTTCCATCCCCTTACTAAAAAGAAAGATGGTATTTTCTACTTAGGTAGTCCAAAATATTACAGGAGTGCTATAGGGAGCTGTAATATTTAGGACTGCTATCACTGTAGAAAATACATAATGTTCTTTTAATATAAGGGTCTTAAAATGCTGGTCCTCTGCAATACCAGGAAAACAAAAGCAAAACAAAACAAAGAACACTGGGCCAGTAGTTCGCCACACACTCAAGCCTCAGTTAACAGCAGGTAAGATGTGCCCATCAGTCAATGCGGGATATTTAAGTGCAGGTCAGCAGCTTATCTGGTTGGCAGTTTCACTTCTTTGGACCAGGCTTTTGGTTTCTCCAAGCTACTGGATTTCCTCCCTTTCTCCCCATCCCTACAAGTACAAGATTAGAATGTATACATATTTTCATCACTCCTCTTTTTTTCCTTATTCCTTTCAACAGCACAGGTCTTTTGTGGGCAAGACATTTTAAAGCATTTGCATCACTCTGAACATGCCTTTCAAGGGGGCAAAGGAAGAAAAGTGTTTCACAGTCAGTAATCTCAGCTTGCAATGGACTCTGGCATTCAATACACCCACCCACTTCCCTAAGGAAAAAAATAAAAATTAATGTTCCTGATTTTCTTGTGCAATTCCAGTCACTAGAAGAAGATTACAGGCCATAAACTGTACACTCAGTACATTACTAATTTGTCCGGTATATACACCAACCAGTTCACTGGAAGACCCATCTGCAGGGGCGTTGCAGTAAGTGTTCCGAATGTCCCAGACCCGGACTGAATTGTCCATTGATGCCGAAGCAATTAAACTACTGTCGGGGCTAAAAGTAAGGCTGGTTATGTTGTCCGTGTGCCCCCTCAGTTCTTTGTAAAGAGTTCCTGATGCCAAATCCCACAGCTTTAGCCGCTGGTCTTCACCTGCTGATGCCAGGTACTTACCGTTGGGAGAAAACGCAAGCGCTAGCACGGGGCCACGGTGCCCGGTGAAAAGACGCACCGTGTTGCCTTGCTGAGTGCTCCACAAGCGCACAGTTTTGTCCGTGGAGCCCGTTGCTAAGTAGTTGGAATTGGGGTGGAACTTGACACAGTCTACATCTGCCAAATGGCCTGCATATATTCGCAGTGGGTACGTCCGATCAAATGACCAGAGCCTTGCAGTGCGATCGTGGGAACCACTGGCAAAGTACAGGCTGCAGGGGCTAATATCCAAATCCCAGACAGGATAGGCATGCCCTTGGTACAACACAGTGTTTGTAAAACTTCCGAGGTCCCAGTATCTGATGGACGTGTCCTCAGAACAAGATAAGAGTCCTGAACTGTCTGAAAGGAACCTTGTGCTGTACACAGGTCCACAGTGTCCTCTCAGGATCTTCATTTCTGTGCCTGCGCTGTCATCCTCTTCCTCCTGGTTGGGGAGGAGAAGAGAAAAAAAAAAAAAAAAAAAAAAAGGAAAGCATGTTTATCTGTTTGACAAATACAGGAACCACCATGAGGAAAACAGCTGGGTGTTAATACTGAAGAAGTTATTTTAGACGTGGCACATTTTGTCCAACTCTGAGACACAAACATTGCTAGTGCATGTGCTACATCTAAGTTAACGCTGAAAGAGATCAGGAGATAAGACTTTTTACATAAAGGTTTTATCTTCCTTTTGGTTAGCCTCATGCTCACTCCAGAAGGCATCTTAACCTGGGACTGTATGCAAATAGGGAAAATAGAAGTATTTTATGACATTTTTCCACTTGCTAAAAACATATGCTTATTCCCTATCTGCTCTCTACTAAACTTTTGGCTGAGATGTTGAAACAGATCTTGGCATCTGCTCTTTTGGTGGGGTCATTATTGGAAGTGAATCTCACAGCACAGAAAAAGAAACACAGATGTCCTAAACAAAAGGCAGGAGATGGAAAGACAAAGCATATTTGAAAAGCTGTCTGCTGGACATTCCTTCTTAGTCCCACATGTGAACAGAAACCCAGTAGGGCCATGATATCTATCTCTCCATGCAAACTCCATCCGGATGCTTTCACATCCTCACCCTTCAAGAACAGCAAATGTATGCAGCTTATTTAGGTCAAAGAATCTATTTTGGGGTAGGAGAAGATGAATAATCACAAAAAGGATGGCACTGGAAACCTTTTTATCCTGTAATTCTCTAATTCAAGTACCAGGGCAGAGTCAACAAGTAAAGGCTTTCATGTTTAAAGACTGTTCAGTGAGCTGTGCTAAAGGAATCTCCCAGTGGAGGGCAAGAGTCTGAAAGTCTACTCAGGTAGCATATCTTGACAGTCAAAGGCTGCACGATTTTCAACAAATCTCAACTCAAGAGAGTGTCCTTGCCCAACAAGCTGGGGTCTTGCTGACAGAGTGCAAGATAACCATGGCTTTGGGGGACATCTGTGTAGTAGCTTGAGACCCCCCCTTCCTCAGTGCTGTCAGGCAGACACTTTTCCTCAGTACTGACTCAGTAACACTCATCCACGGACAATCTCTGCACATCAAATGCAACACAACACCCTTCTGTTTGTGAGCAGCCCCTTTAACTTTTATCATCACAAACTGGCCTGTTTCCTGC